TTTAATTAATGCACAGGTGGACTATTTTTATGTTCGTTTCCGTTAACCACAAAACACTTTCGAAAGCTATTGACGAAGGATTCTTGTTTATTGAGCTTTCTCAGTATATATCGCAGATGTGTGTATATAATGCCCATCGTTAGTGAATGGCGTTCTAAGAACACAGCACAAAGATTTCTCCTGTTCTACATTAAAATTTTTACATTGAATTTTTTTCTTTTGACAAATTCTCAAAACATTCTTACAACTACGAATGTGCCATATATCGAAATGTAATATCACACAATATCGTAAAAATAACGAGTCGGAATCCTGAAAAGTTCTCTTCATACTGAATGCACTGATAAGATTTGCAAAGTTGGTCAACGCATCATCAAAATTTCATAGCACTGTTGATCTAGTATCCAAGTGAATATCACCTTTATGCGGTGTATGAGGTATATAAGAAGAAGGTGCAGGAGTAGTGAGAGCTGAACCTAAAAGAATGGTTTCGAAAGATATTCTTGAGAAATCGGGCTCCTTTTCATCGACATTTTCCGAGACGCCCCATATCCTTTTTCAAGCAGACAGCCAACGCTCATCAACTTCATCCCAGTGGGCAGACTCATATTACGACTGCGATAACAATGTAACAGTTGGCATGATGCATATACAATAAGTGGTATCGCATAATACATTATTGAAAACGTAATACCATATAACAAAGTAATTATTTCAGGTGAGACTCGTCTGTTGTCAATTCTTTCGAATATTCAGATGGAATCTACAAATGCTATTCTTCAGGGTAAGTCTACTTTTCAATTAGTTGCAAGCGAAGCTTATCAATTCGATCGAAACAGATTGAGCACGAGTATTCGTTGATACAAATCCTATCTTGATTATTAGTAGTGTTTGATACAGTGACTATTTTTCGCTGCATCTGATTTTAGTCTTTTTGTGCGTCTGATTTTCACGGACCTCATCTGTCTGCTCAAAGAAATCATGTAGCATTTCGAAAACTTCATATCCTATTTATTTTCGTTTTTTTAATTTTTCCTTTACGTAGTTGTGTAGTTTAGATTAATTTCATCGAAACCACTGTCCACTGTTATCAAGCAATGCTGTTAACAGCTAATAATTATTCTTCGGACTCAGTTCATTTTGATGCGATTAGGTGCGCCTTTATGTTATTGTGTGCATTTGAATCTGTTGCATCAGTGTGATTGTATTGGAATATTGGCAAGTTAGTCAAAATAAATAGTAAACAAAGTCCATCAACCAACTAATTATTGGTGGATGACAATAGCAGTTGATAGCAGTGAATAGTTGAGCAATTCTCTTTGTTCTATAGGTTAATCTATACCATAAATGTACTTGAAGTCAAATTTTTAAAATGAAAATAAAGTGCAAGACATAATGTTTTTGAAAACTGAGATGGCTTCTTTGAGTAAAAGTAGATAGATAATGAAGATTCACGAAAATCAGATGTAAAATATGGCAGAATTAGATGCAGCAAGTGTTTTTGAAAATTGAGATGGCTTCTTTTAGTAAAAGTGAATAGATAATGAAGATTCACGAAAATCAGATGTAAAATATGGCAGAATTAGATGCAGCAAGAAATAATTGCTGTTTATTATAATTGAGCTTGATTCAGAAGGTGTATACCAAATTAAATTTTAACTCGACTATTGCCATCCAAATGATGTTTTTGAAAGTGATAATATATGTTGCATTCCAATGGAATTCCCGAACCAACCGGATGCGTACGAGATATTTGCTTCGTCTAGATTTTATCGAACACCAAATCTGCTCGCTTTAATCTTGCCTCATCCCTCGTGTCAGAACTGTCACTTTGTTTGAGTGTTCTATGTTCTCGCCGTATGCATCAACTTTATTGATATTAACGGTGATGAAAGCAATACATGCTCAAATAAAACACTTGCATGTTTGTCACATAAATATGTTGAGGGTTACAAATGACTGATAAAAATTAAACAAAATAGAGCGTAGTGACGCATGGAATTGTTATTCATGACGATAAAACATACGCACCGAAAAGTGAACATAGCAAATGATGATTGTTTGGCTCATAATTTAATAGCATACGTCATACGCATAATATTATTCGGTTGCATTCATCTCTGAGGCAGAAATATTCATCGGAGGCTGCTAAATAAGTTTTTCGTCTTGGCTGTCATCAAGAGGATCCTTAGTGGCGATGTAAATGGTGAATCAGATAAACTGCGAATCAGTGACTATGAGTGTTGCTGCATTCGAGCACCATTAAATTTGCACTCCATGCACCCAGTATTTCATTGCTATCGCACTCAAAAGATTCACACCTACCGAATGCACCCAAAAAAAANAAAAAAAAGGTGCTTCGGTTCGGGTGTGTCCAATACACTCATCGAATCTGGGGTGGGTGGGTGCTGGATTCATGCACGGGATGTACCCGATGCTCCAGGACTGCACCCACTCAATCTGAGGTGGGTGTGTCCTTGTAACAATTGCACCCATGTACCCAAGAATGCACTCAGTCTAAAATGATTGTTAGCAAAATGGGCGAATTGGATGGGTGTTTGATAAAAATATAAAACACAGACGCGTAGGTACACTTGCGGGTGCTTTTCTCAATTCGATTGTTTTTCTTTATTGTATCGGAAAATTCATATTCATTAAGTTGTTGTTAATTCAAACAATGTCAGACCAATACGAAACAGTCATGCGATTTCATGTCGTTAAGCACGCAGTGCACATGAGGCAAATGGATACTGTGAATAGATGCACAGATAACTGTGATGTTTGTTCAAGAGTGCTGACTGTCGAAAAGTAAAGATGAAATTCAGGTTGGCCATTGCATATGGTCGTTGCGGATCTGGTGGAACAAGTTGGATATGCACTCCGTGAATTTTACGCGCTGAATGGCGGTGTTCGAATTCATCTGATACCGTCATGGGCTGTACAAGTGTTTGCGTTGTGTGGTATATTAATTATAGTGGCACTTTTGGTCGAATGGTATATTGTCAGACGTAAATTGGCCGTTAAACGAACAATGTCCTCGATACAATTGAGTGCAGCTCGAAGTAAAACGCACTTGATGTTTTGAGTGCATTGCAAAAATAATAAAATCCATTCCTCTAAAACTTCCTTTGTTTCCTATCTTGTTTGTTATATTCCATTTATTGCTCTTATGCTTCTAAACCTCATCTCATTTTATTGGACGTTTTCATGATTCGAAATTTTCAATGATCGGACAAAGCGGAATTTCAGTTTCAGCGGCGTTTCTTAACAGCTATGGCATTACCATGCCTTATCGAAATCAGTTACGACCAAATTGATTCACCGATGTTTCATTTTCGAAAATGTCCTTGATTCTCATCACATCGTCTTAGAAAAAATTGTGGATTTTTGTATAGTTATAATTCGCCGTTTATGAAAGATTGTAATGAATGATGAGAATGAATTTTGTTTTGTTGTATATTGGAGAATATTTGTATTTTTAACGATAACAGTGATGATATTGACAATGTTTTGCGATGATAATAACATAAGCCGGAGAACTTTGACGCGTTATAATCAATATAATTGTTCCATTATTCGATTGATTTGCAGCAGTCGAATAGCAAAAAATGGAATTTATCTGAAAAAATTGATATGTTTTACACGTGATAGGGGAAATTTACGAGAGAAAGATGTCCAATGAGACACAACAATTTGATTATATTGCTGTATTCACAAATTGTTTGTTTGAATCGAATGGCTTTTATTTCATTATTCATATCTTATTAATTATGTGAATGTACTTGCCATCATCATTTATCATTGATGATTGCATTTATTTGAAATTGACTATTTCCGATTGAAGAATAAATGCTCATTAAACGTTTTTCTTAGCTGCATTTGAAATAAGTTGAAGCCAACATTTGCTAACAATTAATGCACTTACATTTGCTCATAAATAGAGAAGTTTATTCCTTTCCAAATTTTCCAACCCACTAAATAACAACAAGCATTTCAACTATGTGGATTTATCGCGTAACTACTACGAAAATTTTGACCTTAACGCATGAATTAATGAATAAAATGGCAAAAGTTTAGTAACAGGTGGTGAAAAGAAGCTTTCAGTGTACTCATCTGATGTTGCAAAGCATTGTGCAAAACCGTTCACTGCGATCGCAAATTATTTCTCGCATTATCGACATGGACTTTTAGTTTAGTTTATATTGAATGTTTTTTTTTCGATCGAATTGCTTCATTTCACGTTCATTTCGTAGCTCATTTGCCATCTTCAAATATGGCATATTACATGCGCACACGCATTTAGGACTCGTTCGATTTTCCAAAATCCATTTCGTTTGAACGAAAGTTGTTGAGAATTTGCAGTAGTGAAAGTGAAATAATAATCATTTCACCGGTCACCACATAATCGAATTGTAAAGATGATAACTTTTTCTGAAAATGAAGAGAAGGGTTTAGGAAATTACGATTCAGTGCACTCGCTGAGACATAAAGCTCGTCAGCGAGAAGAATTCAAAATCAAAAATTATTCTTCTAACCGAATGGAATCCAATGGAAACTGTAAAAACGTTTCATTTCCGGCACGATAAGTCTTTTTCTCCGAAGATCCGCTGAAACGATTGAAGCGCAAATCCTATTCCAATTTCTACAACCTCTGCGAACTTTGTAAATGCTTCAATTCCTTACTCTTGCAGATATCAAATTTTGACTCAAATTAATTTCGTCTCCACGACGTAGTTCATAAAACGTTTGTTTCCACACACAGCCGTTGGATGAATACACCCGGAAGGTGGAATCGAACCACTCCGCTTTCACACGGCCACAGGTTTGAAGCCTGTACCCCGGACCACCGAGGTTCATCCGGGCACACGAAATCGCACGGTGTCACTTGATAAAGTCGGGGCGATTTTTTGAATGCAATGTTGACTGGGTTGCAATCAGACAGCAAAACGAAATCTATCACTGAATGAAGGAAACCACCTCCGTGGCAGACTTACTGCCTAGCAATCATACATCTTAGCGATTCTCATAGGGTGTCAAGGAAAGAATTGAGGAAGTTGAAAAATCACCGTTATTGGATTTTCTTGATATTTCTACCGCAAATGTTCAGTAATGTTTTCAAAATGGTCGCTTGATCACAAGGAAGCGATTTGTTTAATACCACCTACAAATTGTTCAAAACAAATTTTCTGATCACTGGATCATTTCTTTAATTTTTTTTTGATTTGCTGCTGATACTAAAATATGATAGATTGTTAGAGGACAAATTGCGATCACTTGAGAACTTGCGATCATCTTCACCATTCAAAGTTTGCCACCCTTTATCAATTGATTGAATGTTTCTAAGATCGGTCGAATATGGGAAGTTAAACAATTTCCGTAATAAATGATTTTTGTAAGGTCCAGGCTTCTATCTCCTCGTGTGTCGTCATATCAACCGACATGTGCAATTTGGTATGGTAAATGTTCGCAATTTTTGTACACGACGGGGACCTGTGTGAGCCTGTAAAAGTCAGATATTTTAGCGACGTAAGTCAATTTGCTTCGAAGAGTTCATTTCCGTTTAACAACATAAATTACGGTTATTTCAACAACACATGAAGCACACTGAATTCACGTACAGAGGCCGGAGCAAATAACACATTCAATTATGATTAATTACCAATCGAATTTTTCATATCAACCTCGAAACAAGTAAGTATCAAGTTTTGATCAAGTACGGATTTTTATGGTCAGCTCAAGCATAAGTATTTGATGAAAGGAATCTGTTTTTTGTTGGACTTCAATAATCGACAAATATCTTAAGTACTTCAACGAAATTTAATTCATTCACTGACTGTAGAGACAAGACACTAATCCGAAATTAACTGAAATGAAAAACAAGTCAAGTGATGATATTAATTCAAAACCACTTATTTCCCACTTTGAAATTCATTTTTCTATTGGTCAATTTACCTCATGGACAATAACAGAAGAGAGAGATTCGTGCACAAATTACTTCGATGAACGAGCATCATTTCAAGGGAGATTTGAGAAAATGAATGTGAATTTTGAAATAAGTTTGCGATACTACTCAAACATGTTCTACAAAATCTGTGAAAAGAATTATGACAGAATGTTGGATATTTCTAATAAAACAGAAAAAAATGTATTTCGGGATGTTTTTTATCCGCCTCTGACTTTGAGCACAAACCTTATCCGACGTTACTCGAATATTCAGACGAATATTCATATGACTCGAAAAATTATCATTATTTTGATCGCATTTTGAAAATTTTACAAAAATGAGTTAAAGTGCTTTGAAAGGAGCTGATACCAATTGATAGAACTACTGATACTGATTCAACTCCTGATACCAATTCCAGCAGAGACCAAAACAACAAAGGTATGGATCGCTTCGTATTATTTCTCGTTTTCAGCTATGCTAATCAATACCAATAATTGCAGCAATGGACATTTCGTCGAATAGAGAAGTAAGAAAACAACTGATGTGACAATGGAAAGAATGAAGATAACATTCAAAAAGAAATACAAAACGCAATAATAACAAACTTTAAAAACACGATAAACTACAGCAATAATCGATTATCACAAATGTCAACGCTGTTATCATCAGATGATAGGCGATGCTATTTGAAGCTCATCTTAACGCCATCGGACCTTGTACTTCATTCTGAATGAGTTGATGTTCTTGGAATCGAAGGGATAACCTTTGAGTCATCTTCAAAAATTTATCCAAGCAATTCGAGCTGCACTTCTCTTCTTTTTCAGTCACATTCCTCAAAGAATATTTTCATTTAGATCGATGCAATAAATCATTGCCTTTTGATCATTCACTCAACAACAATTCGACAATCTTACAGTCACCAAATAAGAAACCCTAAGAAAAACTAAAAACGAAAAAATCATCTGAAGTAGAGAGAACATACCGAGTTGTCATATCTGTAATGCACTGTCCAAAACACTGCTCAGTAACGCTGTTATACTGAATAAGAAAATCTCGGAATGTTTTCAAATCGGTTTCAGTTGAATTCGCTGCCATTATTCTACAATCAACAAGCGTTTTGACATACAGTTATTGCCACCACATAAAGCACCATAGTTACGGTAACCGAACGAAATTTGTGTTGGATTGGAATTTGGTCGAATCAACTTTTAAGGTTCCAAAATTCGGACCTTGCAAGTCATCATTATGCTATTACTTCTTGCTTTTGTAATCCATCATATACACATTAGTTGTGGTGCTTCCTGCTTTCAAAAGTTTTTTGTACAATATGAAAGGCACCTGGGCTTTTTATGTGCACTTATTATGTGTTCGTCTATACTATCCACAGCTACATCAAGATGTTTATCATCGTCTACTCTTTTTCTGAGAATATTTGTCTCATTACGGATTCGTCTAGCGGGTTGTAACACATATGTTATTATGAACATTACAATAAAATCATAACATTTTGTTGGGAATGAAAATTTGCGATTTTGCGGTGCAACTGCCTAACACAAACAGTCACTATCGCAAAACATGTGCACGGTTTATGAACTTTCAAAAGTAACCACATCAAACCAAAGATAAAGCACAAATATAAGTTCAAACGAATGCAACGAATCAAAATACATCAATACAGCAAAAAATAATAACGCAATTCATTATGAATGTTTGTAAATCTCTATGTTACCTTACAAATTCAATCATTCACGATTCAACAATACGGCTCGTTCAGGTTACTATGAAACCTTTGAGATGACAGAGAATGTTTATGAAACAAATGAGGAGAACGTGTTTATTTACATTCATATTTATGTATATAAAACATTTACTCACCTATTCTATATATTCATCATAAAATATTTATCAAATTCTTATGGATAACAACTGTAATAAGAAAAACACAAGGCGATCACCAATTTGAAAATGGATAAGCGAATTCAGCCAATTCTGAAAATGGAGTATGACAACCGAATAGAGTATGATAATATTAATTTAATCACATTGATGATACCATGAACATCATCGCAATCCCTATTGCTGCCTTTTTGATGTTAAATTTAACTAGGCGTTGATATCACAAATGATTTAGGGTGAAAATCAAGATTCACATTGGGAAAAGAATGAAATTTTTCGGGACTTGACAGGAATAAATGAACGGTACTGAGAATGAATGTTGCTTCTTCTATTCTTGAAGAAAGGAATTGAAAATTCATGAAAAGTAACAATTTCTAACTGTACGTACGAACTCAATGGAATAGAATTTGGAAACGGTAAAAACATGATTATTTATGCTCCTTTACATATGTTCGTACATTTTATGTATGTATACTCCATTTACCTGTGCACTTATTTACGCTTGATTGTCCCGCAAATGTCGGTTCTTTTAATAAACCTTTGTAATGAATAAATAAATAGACTCAATAAGTAAAATCAACAATCTCTAACATTCTAAAGCATCCCTCAAAGGCTCAGTTCAATACCAATCGATAAAGCCGAAATGAATTTTGCAGTTGAGTGAGAGGAAATTTGGAAATCAAAAAGCAACGCTGCACATAGGTTTACGAGGTGATCACCTTGGCGGGTTGCTGAAAAAAATATGAAAAATTTTGACCTAAGCGCAACAATTTTTCTCGAAATGATATCACCAAATACAACGCATCACTACAAAATGAAAGTTAAGTAGCGACAGGGTCATTAAATTTATAATGCCAAATTATTATGCACATACTGTTTTGGCAGAAAATCGACCTTACAGAATATTCTATCCTGCTATTTTTTTATCCTACTCAACATCATAGCTCCCAAGAAACACCTGATAAAGTTCAGCGACCACTTGCATCTGCGTTTGCATTGATTTCAGATGTAAACTGCTTTAATATTGACTCGGCTTGATCCATTACTTTGTCCGTCTGCAAACGAAACGTGGTAAGTAGTGCAAAAACCTACGCTCCCGGGTGGGCTTGAACCACCAACCTTTCGGTTAACAGCCGAACGCGCTAACCGATTGCGCCACGGAAGCACGTCCGCTGTCCCCTTCATGATGATTACGACGAATTAAGAACAGAATTTACACTACCGCAAAGAGTTCCACCTCATAGTGATATTGTGAAATTAGAGCAACTCTTTTAAAATTGAATGAATTTAATCAAAGGAGAACGCCAAGAAATAATCAACCTTAAAGAAGCACACTCGCACCATATGGTCATTGTCTGATTTGAACTGATTCGAATAAAATGCCGATGGCGGTATCATCGCTAGATTCTGAAAATATTATAGATCAAAACCACCCGAAACGATGACTTTTTGAGGAGCATTACAGCAACTTGCTTTTTGCTTGACAGAACACATTTCTGCAAAAGAATACCAACATAAACTTGAAATCACCTTTTCACGACACATCCATCGTACGAAGCGAAAGTCCAAAGGATCACCATTATCACTCTCTGATTTGAAAGCATCTGCTGAAATTCACACTCCTTCACGGGGCAGATCAGTAATGGGTATTTCAAAATCAAAAGATCACCTCCCAAGCGACGGAAATTTGAATTTTGTCGCAACAAATCAACGGTGAATTGGATGCAGAATGACAGTTGCATAAAAGAGTAACGATCCAAGAAAATTTACCAGCGACTAAATGACTCAAGGAGATTCACGACAGCATTCCATTGAAAATATTCACCGAATATTTGAAACTAGAACTGAACTGCGATAACGATTTCAAAAATGCAAAAAAATGGCAAAATTAACGTGGAACAAGCGAAGAGAAATCAGCCATCATGAAGTAGCCTGAATCAGGGATAATTGGCTTCAGTCCAGCCATCCGTAACATATGCGCCATACGATCCCTTTTCGATCGCAGATCACGAGCCAAACCTGTTTTAAAATAACTCTTTTCTGGATCAGTCCACATCACCGACATCTCCTTTTCGATTGCCTGCGCCACTGCCTCCTGTAAGCACAAATCAGATGAACGCAGACGATTCCTGAATGTAATCTCGAAGCAACGCTTTCATTTTACGAATATTCCTTCAGAAAAAAACTAAGGCACAAAAAAGTTTGAATGCTCATCTACATAAACAGTTTTCAACACGTTCCCAAACAAAGCGAAATGCATACAAATGTAACAAGTTTATTATAAAAAGGATTCAGCAAACCTGAATTGGCGTTGAACAGGTGAAGACACAATTCTGATGAATGGCTTTGAGTGGATCGAGCAAATGAGAAGGTCCAATTGACCATCCCAATTTCCAGCCAGTTGCACTGAATATTTTGCCGGCACTTCCAATCGTTATTGTACGTTCATACATACCCGGAAGACTTGCTGCAAATTCCCACAATCAATTCAAATCGATGACATAGTCACGATCTGTCCAACCGAGAACGGAGGGAAGGAGGCGCAAAGGTTCTGCTCCAAATAAATAGCTGAATTTCGAGTGGATTTTTTTTTCTTCCATCCCTTCCTCTTTTTATCTTCTCTTTCCCTCTTCTTTCCCCGTTTTCTCCCATCCTCCAAAGGGCCCTCGTCTAGGCTACTGACTCAAATATTCGAAAAAAAATCTGATTCTTTGAACAACTATTCATAGCATCATCCGATCAGAAGATAAGTCGTCAAGGTACGTTCACAGCTTCTTTAAGCTTTCAATTAGACCTAATCGAGTAATAAATGAAACTAATAATCAATGAAACTACNAAATAAGGAAAATTAATTTTCTATATGATTAATCTAATTTTTTATCTCATTCATGATTACCGCTAATGACTTGTACAGACCCAATTAAACGAACAAAAAGATATCTACCAAATCGGATCATTTCTCGATCCTGATAGATATGCCATTCATAAACTTCGTCTGCAATCACCAATAAATTATACTTTCGAACCAAATTCGCCAGTTCCTCCAGTTCTTCTCTAAAGTACAGCAATAACAAAATCAAAAAAGCATTATAATTGAACGAAAATATTGTGCACAGTAAAACGAAATGCTGGGAAGTTGAGATAATTGAGTGTGTGAAACAATTCACATAAAGAAAGAAACGTTGTTATGATGATACAAATCATTAGAGATTGTTGTAACAGAAGCTATTCTAATGAAGGAACGCTCAATAAAAAGTCATTCACTCTAAACACAGTATATTAATGATCATGTTGAAAAAGTATGTAAGAGTATGATCTTCTCAAGAAGTAAGAATGAATATCAACTTAAGAAATGTTGAAATATGAATAAGTAACCTTGAGAAAAGTTTTCCAGTGGGATTATGTGGATTGTTGATCACAATAAATTTCGTAAGATCCGTGATTTTCGCTTCAATATCCGAAATATTCAAATGATAGTCAGCACTCGATTCCGCATCTGATCCCAACTTAAGTGGGACAGCTACTGGAACGCCTCCGGCTAATTGAATTTGTGGCACATAGCAATCATACGCCGGTTCAAGAACTGAACATACAATTAGATCGTTTTAACATCAATTATAATGAGGAACATAAAATGTGGATTATTATTCTCAAACAATTAAACAAAATAACGTCCTACTTACAACACGTTATTTTATTTGATAACTTTAGTTCGATAAAGCACTTCATATTATAATGAAAATAATGATTTATGAATTTATAAATGTCATAATGAAAATAATGGTTTTCATTATAACATTTGTAAATAAATTTACAAACTCGAAAAAATAATTGATGTCTCGTTCGGAAACATTACTGAACACGATAAACGAATCAATATTATCAATTCATTACGTTCAATTCAATCTAGATGCATTCGCAAATCAACTTTTTAAAAATCGCCGTTCACTTCTCCAAAATCTACCTCATATTAGACCGTATGTATCTAATTTATAAACTTTCAAACTCCCAAGGAATTCTCACACTAAATAAATATTCAGTCGTACTGCAACTTAATAAGTAACGAAATTTCATGACAGATGCAATCTGACAAAAATGCTCTTACCAATGACTTCATCTCCACGATTGATCCAACCAGTAAAAGCATAATACAACGATAAGTAAGCACCAACTGTTACCAATACATCGTTTTGTGCATTAACGTCAACATTCAACAGTTTTGAATAGAGATTTGCCAATGCTTTCACCTGGAGCGCTTTCATACGATATGAATTGCAGAGAGATTCTAAGCTACACCAAAACGGTACAGAAAGCAATCTTTTGCTCAGTTGACATGAAAACTGTGTGTTTCGTGCATTTGAGAAATACCCACACAGTAAAATTCATGATAGCGGGTAGAATATTACCAAAATACATGAACTGCTCGTTAAAAGATATCAAACAAATGTTTCGATAGATCGGATCCGAATCGTCCATACTGAATTTCAAAAAAAGCGCACCAAATAAAAGATTGAACTCAAAATAAAACATTGAAAACGAACGAGTCGAGGATGACCAAATCCTCTCGTATATTGATGCCAATCCGTCCTCTCAGGATGCGATGCTATTTCCTTCAGAATGTCAGCAACAAATTGGGGCATAGGACTGTCCGGAAAACCCTTAAAACGGTGGATTCAGCAGTCTCGATTAAAAATTAGTCGATGCTTGAAAATGATGAAAGTATGGTTTCGCTGTATTAAAAGAAATATTAAAAGATATACTTTATGATCTATGCTCAAATAATTTCAGTGTAATTACTCATCAACACTTACTTAGGGACGCGTTGCAATGTGACATAAATATTACAATGTTGAAGTGATTTTCGAAAAGTGATCGTTTTCCTACAGTGGAAAATCTTAAACTATGCAGTGAGTTACGCGAGGCAATGACTCATCGCACTGATAATTCTTACAGAAAAGATTTACAAACACAATTTGGTGCTTCAAAAACATTTGAAATACTTGAAAAATTAACGCAACAACTGCAATAATTATATGAAAAGATGCAACTACTCAATAAAAGTTCCTATCCATTCCTGTGACTACCTGGATATCTGCAGAATTCCAACTAACAAGTATTCATCATGTAACGATGAATGAAATGTTCAAAAAGATTATAAAAGTGAAAAAAAAACGTATAAAAACTTGAAAGACGATGAAGATATTCACATTGCAAAACTGATTATTAAAAACAAATGGATAGAAATTTCTCATAAAGAAACCTGACCAATGTTGACAGCGTTACATTCAGCCGCTAAAGAGGTAAATTCAACCCTGGAAAATGTTGANATTAATGTGAGTTATCCATCGATATCTGAAAGCCGAGGATCAAAACTCATTCAAATCCATCTGCAGAGACGATAACTAAACTTGAACTAAACGGTCAAAAAGTACTATAATGACGATGAGTCAAAATTAAAGTTCAACTATAAATGTGAACTTATCCCTCGAAATTCTGCCGCAATCCGAAGTTCGGCTGGAGCAAAATTTACAAATATGTATATCCTATGCACCGCAACACTTCGGTATCTACCATACGACAGCCTCATTGTAACATACCGAACAATTTCGTGTAATTAGTTCCACTCATTTAGAGAGAACAACAGTGGGACAGAGGGGTTTTTTTTTAAATTATGATGATTTTTATAGTCGAGCTTTCGAGGTTGAAATAATGAAATGGAAGCTGAAACTTACCATATACTCGGTTTCGTATTCGCAATACCATCGAAAGGTCGACGTTCAGATGCAGTTGTATACTGCATCATGCCTCGCTGACCCGAATTTTCCTCAATTCTACTCAAACGTTTCAAATAATTATGTCGTTGTCCACAAGGACGGAGCAAACGGGGCAAAATACGACTGCAAAACATTCCGAACGCTGATGAAAATAGTGCGAAACGTCTTAGATTTAGAACTGTGAGATACTGCCGAGCAAAGAAAAAGCGGTTGGGAAATGCAAGGAATCGTAGTGAGACGTAGCCAATAAGTGTTATTGGCAATGTGCGGCACAACGAATGACGGATTCGTTGCTCAAAGAAAAAGATAATTTTTTCAAGGGAAAGATCTGA